ACCTCCGCCACGAGCTATTTTCGTGGGCTCGCAGCACCCCAGGAGCCGCGCCACTCTCGTTTCATAGGGTCTCCATGGCCAGGATGCCAGGCGCTCGGGGACGAGTCTCCCCGTGTAGCCGCGTGCTAGAGGGAGTCGCGGGCGAGCTGCACGGCTGACGCGCGGCTCTTCATGGCTGTCCCCGCGCGGAGCCCACAGGGACCGGTCCCCGGAATCTCCAGTCCCTGCGGACCCTCCCGGCCAGAGTTGGGCCTGCGGCCTCCTGGGCACTTCTTATGTGCATGGTTTGTGGGCTCAAGGCTTTGGGAGACGTGAAAAAGCCCCAAAGGCAGGGAGTTGGTAAACTGAGGTGACGTCGGAACTGGTGCTGGGAGAAGACTCAAGCAGGGAAGTAAAGGACAGTCGCCTTGAGTTGCCCCCCCCCCCAAGAAAAAGTTCAGAAGATGAAAGTTCCTTTCGGCTTTTATCTTTTTTCATTAAAAATTTGGGGGGAGTTGAGGGGGAGGACGCGATTAGAGATGAATCTCACTGAACCCGAAATTGAAATACAACCAGCCTTGGCGTTTTAGCGCGCCGTGCGCTCCCGCAGCCACCTTGGGATTGTCTGGGGACTACGGGCGCTGGCCCCTTCCACTGTCCCTTCGCCCCTCAGGGACCGGCTCCTCTCCGTCTGCTTTTCCTATTTCTGGAACTCCTCCCACAGGGCTTTTTTAGGGTTCCTGGCGTCGAGAGAGAGAGAGAGAGAGAGAGAGAGAGAGAGAGAGAGAGAGAGAGAGAGAGAGAGAGAGAGAGAGAGAGAGAGAGAGAGAGAGAGAGAGAGAGAGAGAGAGAGAGAGAGAGAGAGAGAGAGAGAGAGAGAGAGAGAGAGAGAGAGAAAGGAATGAAAAAAGAGAAAGAAAGAAAGAAAGAAAGAAAGAAAAGGAAAGAAAGGAAAAGAAAAGGAACCTCTTTGCCCTCCCCAACCCTTTTGCAGTCAGCCCCGGTGGCGCGGCAGCGGGAAGACCTAAAGCCGCTCAAACAGCAGCGCGGCTCTTTCCTGGCGGGGACGGTCGCGCAGGGGCGCCCGTGGCCTCCGCACCCCCCACGCGTGCAGCATCTTCAGTTAGTTAGGACATCCCAGCAATTCCTTGAGCTGTGGGTTGGTGAATTCCTCAAGAAATATTTGCTGCGACTGTGCAGCTGGTGCAAAGGAGGAAGGGGG